TGTCAGGACGCCGTGGACGTTGGACTGCGAGCATGCCCTCTTGAAAGAGGAGCACCGGTTGAAGGAAGCCGGATGTGACGAACCCGGTGCATCACCCGGGGTTTGCGGCACCGGTAAAATAGTCTGCCCCAAAGTTATAACCGGGAACCGCGTCGTAGGTGGTCGAGATGGCGTCAGTACTTTGATGTACCAACTATTTGTGAGCACGGACAACAGAACCAACGGAGTCTATATCCCAGACGCTGCTAACATTGGCCCCAGCTGGTGTTTTACACCTGAGGGGGCAGGTTCAGATGAATTGTAGCTGTCGCCACGCACGGAAAGGGGAAAGTTTTTTAACTCGAGACTGATTTTAAAGTCACTCACACCAGCTCTGTTTGTTCGACTGGGCCAGGGATTGGCCGTGCGGGGCCAGGGGTTGACCGTTCGTGGCCAGTGCGAATGGTTGCGAGACATGTCGTCACATCTTCATGTCGTCACATCAAGTCTGGTCAAGTCTGCTATAAGCCCACATGAGGTCTCAAAGGTCTGACGAACTCCGGGTGGTAGTAGAAAGTATCTGGTGAAGGTTCGCCCCTTCGGGATAGGTGCAGACCGGTGATAATGGCGTTGCCAAAGTCGAAGTTTCTCAGGCTTGGGTCATCCAGAATAAGTCGGGCATTGAAAGGTTTTTTGTCGCCTAATTTTCTATTTAGGAGCGTAATGTGTAGTTTCCGCTGAATTGAGCCGTCAGCCTGGATTAGCCGGTCTTCAACCAGTTCCTCGACGCAGGAAACGCCTTCACTAAGTAGTCCGGCCACGAGGTCTTCGACCAGAGCGTCCAGATAACTATGAGCGGATCGACGTAGCCTTAACCAGGGATCATTATTGCAAGGTTCGTCGCTAACGGAAGGGTCTGCAACCGACTTAAATTGGGAGGTTCCGTTGAGGTCGTTCGTTGCCGCAGATCCGTTCGACGCATCTGCCTCAACTTCCTTGGTGTATAGCACGGACGCCTGAGTTTCGTCTTCGTCCATGCAATATACCCCCTTCAGATGCACCAAAAAACCCTTTGGCGGAGGCTGGACGTCTCTTGGGATGCTAACCGGTACTTCATCACCGAACAAAGGACTTTTGAGCTTCTGTATCACTTTAATAACTGCAGCAATCTCGTCGTCAGTGTAAAGCCGTAACATAATTAGCGTGTAATGACACATCCCCAATGGCATCATAATCCGAACATCATTCACCAATGCTTTATCATCCAACCGTTTGAAAAACTCCCTCAACCGACCGGGGAATTCCACGTTGTCTGCCAACAAAATAGGTAGTGATATAAAGTGCGTATACGCCGCAAAACTCCTAAACTTCGATACCAGCTCCTCAAGCTCCAGACGTGCCTCAGCAAGCTTAATCTTGTCGCTGTCATGTGACATCGTTATAAATGTCGCGCCCTGAGACAATCGAACCCGATTCTTTTGCCCGGCGTTACTCCCATAGTTCTTATTCTGTTCCAATTCTATGCACAAACCAGGGTACGCTGCCTCTAGCTCCGAAATATTGTATTTCTCCCGACCCAGAACGCGCCCCATAATGTCGCGCGCGCATAGCACACGTGTTTGCCAGCGCCCATCCGACCCTTTCTTAGCCGCCGGGACCCAATATATGGTATTCAACGCCTTCTCTACTTCGGGACGAACTTCTTCCGTGTCTCCAACGCCTATATCGCTGCTCTGATCGTCGTCATCCAGCAACTTCACAGTTTCCGTTACATCTCCCATACGGTAGGCGTTCATCGGCTGTAACGCAGGGCCAAACTCATCCAAATTCACAGTCTCGTAGGCTCCCAACGCACCTGGCTGATAATACCTGTATTTTAAACCTTTCGACAACGCATCAACCACTGCCGTTTGAATCGGGGTTGACATACACAGAGACTTTAAAATTCACCGTCAGCCGAGCGAGCGCTTTGGGCATCAAGTGAGTGCTTTGGATAGTGACCGCGAGCAGACACTCACCGCGAGCGCACAGTCACCGCGAGCACACAGTCACCGCGAGCGCACACTCACCAGC